CATCCGGAGCACCAAATACTGTTTCCAATACAAAAAGGCTTTCGCTGCATGGTTTGCATGGGGTTAATGCAGTACCTTTGTTCCCCAATGTTCTCATCATGATCTGGTACACGTCGTTCACTTGCACAGTAACGTCTCACCGTTCTCCACGATAGAAACTGCTTTTTATGCATTCAAATGGCACATTAACCGGTCGCCTCAGATGCTCTCTAATCCTGTGATGAAAGATGTTTGATGGATCCAAGAGGCTTCAGTCTCGTCCTGCAGTCTGGAAAAGAAAGATGTTTAATGGATCCAAGAGGCTTCAGTCTCGTCCTGCAGTCTGGAAAAAGCCTATTACGGAAATGTTGCAGAAGATTGTTCTTCGATTTGGGCAAGTGATAGCATAAGAATGTGTGCTATGTTTCGTTTGATGGGTTCATCAGCAAAGATGAACTACACTGTACATGTACTTAATTTAAGACTAACAATATTCAACTTGTAGACGTGTTCTCAAATCTGCTCTTAAGGCTATTGGGCGGAAGATACCAAGTCCAGGCTACACAGCCTATGGGCCGGCGGGCCGACGGCAACAGCAGTCATCGGCATCCCAGATCGTCTAGTCAAAAAGCAAGCTCAGTCACTGAAAAACAGATTGCTCAAAAGACAGCCATGTTAGGGTGACCGGACAGAGTCGACCTCGTTGGATTAAATGTATTTCTCTTCAAAGGCAAACGCCCCTGACGCTTAACTTGAAGTTTCATGTCTGTGAATTAGGACAATTGGATGTTATGATAGAAGTTATATTACATAGTAAAGGCAGATCTTACGATAATAATTAGAGAGAATGCAGAATACACTTTGTGCTATGCCCTGTTCTTTACTGCTGGTTTTTGGGGCACATATTTCGTGTAGGCTCCCGGTGGAGGAACTGTGATCCAGGCAATATTCATTTATTACGCTTTTTGCCGCAGGAATGCCGATAGGTGCAATTAAAAATAATGTAATTCCCTTTTGAGCTCAAAAATTAGGAGATAATACAGTGTACTCCAAAGCACCAAACCATGACATAAGGTATAAGGCCTACACCTTAAGCCATCACGTCTTTGCCATCTGAACTTTTCAGAATCCTCCGAAACTCCGGGAGTCCCCAAGAAACGCTATAAAAACGAAGCGGTGGGTGTATTGTAAAAAATAACCCAAACCCGGTCACCGTCAACCGCAGACAGCTACACAAACAAGTCCACCGCAGAAAATATGTGCACCCAAAATAATAACTTCACACAACAGGCCACTTCGTTATTCCTATATAGGTAGGGCTTCAACTTGAGCATAGCGATAACAAAGTGCCAAAGTACAGTTTCATTACGTGGGCATGGAGACTGGTGTCAGACATCAACGATATGCCCCACTCTACCGACCTGAATGTCTCCGCGTCTGGCTAGTTTTTCTTACATCCTCTACACAGATAATGGAAATAAAGGAACCAGTAGCTCTTTAAAGACGAACA